CAGGTAGCTGGTGGCCATGGTAGAATGAAAAATAGTAGATTACAAAGAGTCATCCCAGATTCCAACTATATTTATACATTAATTGTGCATTTATAAAAACCTTACAAATAATTGTTTTTCCAGGAAGACATTATAAGTAACATTTAAATACATGTAGTAAGAAAACATCTTAAAATCACAGTTAAACAATACAATAAGCTGATGGCTATAAAAGAATCTTCTTTGTAAAGACTTGTCCATTCATGTTTGAAATAACAACATGTTCTTTATTCATTACAACATATAACTTCTGCTAAGTTTTTTTAAATTGTTTCAATGCATGGAAAGTAATTATTCTGAAGTACAACAGAAAGTCACATACATATTTGAACCTGTTGTTTATATTAAAAGCATCTCTAAGGTGTTGCTAAAGTTAAAGTGGATTTACTTTCAAATTATGTAAACTGGAAAGGTTATTTGAATTGTTTTCTAATAAGTAGATGATTAATTGCATTTACCTGTCAGGACATGATGGTAATTTAGATAACATTGTCTTGTGTTCTGAGAACACTATGAAGAATCCAAATTTCATTTTCTGGGCAATATACTGAGATCATTTTGCATACACAAAAGAGAAAGTGGGATAAAGTTTTAATGTTAACTGCAAAGAAGTTCTGGGAATAAATACTTTTTTCTAGGAATATTAATACTTGCCTTTGTCATGCTAATTACATCTCACTTAAAAAATGGAAATGCCAAATATTTCCAGGAAAATATTACATTTCAATGACTGAGATAGTCGAAGTGAATTCAGTCCTGAAGACAGTAAATCCACAAGGGGTGGTGGTGGAGGATAAACTGTAATTCTATACATGAAAAGACTTAATCCCACTTGAAACTTTACAGTATCTATATATTTGTCTACATATTTAAGATTGTAGACAGCAAAAGTATTTACATTAAACTACTTATAGAAATTATTCTTCTTCTATTCAGGAAGACCATTATACTAAGTTAACATGGGGAACTTAGAGGAAATACTCCTTAGGAGACTTACTCAATTCAGAATTTCTCTTTAGCGCAAAGTTCAGAAAAGAAATTAAAGAGGTCTCAGGTGTTTTCATCTGTAGGTCCTTCCTTTCAGTCTGAATTACAGTCCATGGGTAAACTTGACACTTGTGGTGAAATAGATGAATTTCAGTTCAATTTCTTCTAAACAAATGTCTACATCAAAAGACTGTAATTATTGCACAATTCATGGCAGTGAAGTGACCAAGGATTTAGGTGGTCCCTTATGCTCTTACCTTTAGACGCAGTGCCTTCGTAAGAAAGCCTAATGTGGACAAGCTAGCCCAGGATGTGAAGCGGGCGAGGCCAGCTGTTTATATTTTGCATTACTCTGTCCATCCCAAATGACTTAAACCAGCTAATCTTTACCATTGAAATAAAACACAATTAAAGGAAGGAATTAATAGTTACCAGTTGGGCTACAGCACAATCCAAGTCATAATAGAAGTGTTTTGTGAGCAAACTTCACACTGCTACTCTCAACACACATGTACACACACACACACACACACACACACACATTTAATATGCCAAATGGAAGAGTGTTGATAGTGGTTCACCTTTCCAGTATTTCTCAAGGTATGGTTCACTGACACAATTAACAGTGACAATCTAAAAGTGGAAACTGCAATTTTTTCCCCCTGGGAAAACTGTATACTGTATGAAGAAGAAAACTCTAAGGGCTGAGAAGGTAAAAATGTTCACTTTTTATTTCTACTGGAGGATGCGAGATTGGGAGGGAGGCATGAAGAAAAAGGCCAATCAAGACTTCATGGCATTAAGGACTGTGGAAAACTCTTTGCCAAGGGCTCAGTACTAAATGCTTTGCTATGTATTCTCAGAAAGAAATGACAGAGAAAAGGTATGGACAGATGTAGGGCTTCCTCATGTCCCAAACTGAACTCCTTTATTTTCATTTGCTCTTTCAAACCACAGGAAGAATGTTAACTGAATGAGCCTATGAAATGCAATAGAGTTCAGAGAGCTTAGAGAATCATAAAAAAAAAGAAATGGACATTTTTGCTATTTTATTCCTGGAGAGAAATGATTGTTGTAGGCACTTTCCATGACTCACAGAGCAGATTTATTAATTTTCTGGCCATAGAAAAATCTTAACCTCAGATTCTTAGCTATGTAATTCCTGTTCATCAGAAACTGAGTCCAAACTGGAACACTTGGAAAGAAGCGCTAACATTTACCCATCAAAGCTGTGGGTTATTACCAGATCAATGGTACCTCCAGACTCTGTTCCCATGTGCAATTCTGCTATAAGAAAGACAGCTGATTAAAGACATACATACCTTAGAAATAACTTGACATATATTTTCAACTATGGTGAGTTAGGCAGAATGCAAAGCAGAGTGATAAGAATTAATGTTTTCACCTATTTATTTTTATATTACACATGTATTTTATATGTTCAATGTAGACAAGAATTGCTAATGTTACTGTGAGATGAAATGTTAAAAGTAACTCAGGAAAGGGTAGTATACATAAACATCAACACAAATGCATGGAAAACATAGGTGAAAAGAGAAAAGGATAAGGTTTAAATGATTCAACACCTAAACAAAATTAATATACATATATACTGTTTTCCTTTTGGTGGATGAGAAAATTATTTGATGTTAGAATTAACTATCCTTATTTTCTGGTTTTCTTGAATCCAGTTTCTTCAAATTTTCAACTGTTTCAGGAATTTAAAAATAGCTATTTTTAATCTGGGTTTTAAGAGAAAAAGAAATACTTAAGCTGAATTGATTGCTTTACCTTGGTTTTTACTTTTTTTTTTTTTTTTTACCAAATAGGCTAGAAATAATGGGACCCATATTGCCATCCACATTCCAATATTACCCCCAAAATGAGAGCAAGTAAAATCATGCTCACGATTCTTTGATAGTAAGACACAATACCTTCTTAGAAGGCAAATGAAATTCAAGATCAGTAACAATGGAAAAGAGAGTCAACAAAAGTTTTCAAAATTCTAGCATTATAAGGTTAAGCTTATCTGAAGACCATCAGTGTTCATACAACTATCACAAAGTGAAAATTAAAATTATCCTTGGAAAATTCACGTATCTGTACAAGGTGTCATCTTCAGGTTACCCGGGCTTGAGTTAAAGACCTTGTGGTCTGAATTTTTCATGAAAGCCCCTCTGCAGCTTGAAAGCTAGCCTCTGCACAATGTGTGATTAATGGCAACTAGTTTGATTAGTTTAAATCTGGAACATAAATTTTAACTCAACTTCCTTTTTCCCTTTTAACAGTTCTGCCTAGCATCCCTGTCATGCACAGGCAAAAATCTTTATTTTCATAAGGAATAAATCCTTGTGGATTTGAGAGAAGTAAGTCATCTAGGATCAATGACCAGTAAATATAATGCCAAAGTGTCACTTTAGAGACCATTTGCCTCAAGAAAGATGGATGCCCCTTACCTGAGATTAAACAATGCTTTTCAAAATCTCTTGAGTTTGGATATATAGTTGTTTACAATTTTAACAAGAAGGATCAGCATCTTAGCTTTCAGAGTCTAAAGTCGGTCTTCACACTTTTCTATTATGACTTCGGTGTTTGTATGTATGATGGAAGACAGGAAACACAAAAGATCTGGAAAGGGCCACAGAGCAATGTGTTTTCGTAAGGGAAGTGTTTTGTTTAAATTTTTCTAATGTTTTCTGAACAGTTATACGAAGTAGATATATATGAGTGATGTCAATGACTACAATAATTCCTCTCTGATAAAAGTCCTATATCCTGGGAACACAGCACCTGCTTTGCTGCCAGTGAGCAGGGACACACAGTCAATTCTGCCACTAGTAAGATACTCGGGTAGAGAAGCGGCACTCCAGAACCCCTGGGGTGTGATTAAAATTTTCCTTCTCTCTTGTGCTAAAAGCCTCAATCATTTGAATGTATCTCTTTGCAGGGTCTATGTGAAAATGTTCACAAGAAGTCTGAATAAAAATGAGGCACCATTTCACATTAGTATCTTATTAAAAAACTGAGCTCTAGCATTCCTGGTGACAAGTGACTAATTCAAGCAAATAGTTACTATGTTGGGGCTTTATCATGTTAAAGAGAAAATGTGTTGCTAAAAATATGATGACCCCTGGCACTTTATTGCTATGGTCTAAGCAACTGCAGCTAATTACTGATTTTCTGTATCATCCAAGCCAAATCAAGAATTCCACCTAGAGCAGTTACTGCAGAAATATACTGTTAGGCCCCAGCTAAGCTTCTGTTGATTTGAAAGTTTTATCCCTCCATAAAAAGTACAAAAATACTCACTGAAGGTTACTGAGAAATTGTTTGATTTGACATAAAGATGAAGACACACTTCTTAGTACATGTTGTCATTCACAGGATAACTTGCATCACACGCAATTTAATGAAAGCTCTCAAATAAGCGATTTTATTCCTATCCATGATTGCAGACATTTACAAAACCATAACATCTGAGTTCACCTTAAAAAATAACTTATATAAAGCAGTGATATACACAGCACAAAATAGTTCAGGGAGGGGCAGGAGCAACTTTTAATAATTAAAATGTAAACGTGAAAAAAAGGATGGAATAAAAGTCCCTACTCATTTCTACTTAAGATGTCATGTGATAGTATTTTACAATGTCCTGTGGGTCAATGTACGTATGTGCATGTGTCCATATAACATACACACATACGATACATTCTCTTTCCCACACATATACATACACAGATAATCATTTGCAGTTCAGTTGAGGGCAATTCTAATGTGCCTCTCCGTACAGTTGTTCGAATCACGATTGGACCCGCTTTCTTCACAAAATAGGGGAGAGAGCAGGAAATAAAAAGGTTGGTTTGGTGTGACTGAGATTCCTTTGTTTAACTGTACACTGTGATGAATAATTTTCTTCCGTAGTAGTTCTGTGAAGGGCTGACTCTGTGGTTTCCATGAGGAGACTTGGTAATGGATCACACACTCATTGTCATGCTAGGGGAGTACTAGGAGAGAAGAATCCATATTTTAACAACAATTCTACAGGCCACTGGCATCCCCCTCGGTAAACAATAGTAACTGCGAATTTTAATGCTTTTTATGAACAAGCTTTTAATACACCATAAAAAAAAAAGCAGGAAAAGAGTATAAATTACATAGAATTGACTGTCCTGAAATGTTAACTATTTCCCTGTGGAAAGCAACCAGTCCTGTCCTCTCTCTGAGCGTCGGGGGTTGATAAGCACCTGATCCCTTAGCTTCTTTTCTTCTAGCCAGATTCAGGATTTACGGGCCCTTGGAACAACTAGGGCAAAAATCGAGCCCAAGGTGGAGTCGTATGAAACGAGTATGAGGGACAGGATAGCCTCTGTCTCCTGCATGCTTGGTGAAGATGGAAGGTCACTGGCCTCCTGGTGCCTGTTTCGTCACCTGTTAAATCTGCTTCATGACAGTATTAATCTTAAAGGGGTTTTGGGAGGATTGAATATAAACCCCTTAAAACTATATATTTATTGGAAACACAGAAATGTGCTCAGTAAATGCTGGATTAATCACTGAACTTGTAGCTGGCCATAAGAAATCCTCACTAGAGCACTGAAAAAATATCAGTACTTAAAGAGTCTGGCTCATACTTCAGCATGTAAACTTCCCAGAAAGTCCGGCTCCAATCTCAATCCACAAGCATTTCTGGGTGGACGGAGGGGCGTTGCTGTCACGTGCTACTTGCCGGTTTGAGGCTGACCACTGGTAAAGGTGAGGCTTTCAGAAATTTGGAAATACAGGCTTATAAACGATAAATAGAGCAATTATTCTGATAATGATGTCAACATACCGTCATACTTCTTTAAAGCTTTTTATTTTGTATTGGGGTATAGCTGATTCACAGTGTTGTGGTAGTTTCAGGGGGACAGTGCGGGGTTCAGCTGTACACACACGTATCCATTCTCCCCCAAATGCCCCTCCTCCAGGCTGCCGTGTAACAGTGAGGAGAGCTTCCTGTGTTATAATGCAGGTCCTTGTTGGTTATCTACTTTAAATAAGGCCCAGGTATTATTTCTTCTCCAAAACTCCAGATGTGTTTCTAAAGAGCAGCCATGTTTAAAAACACCTGGACTATATGATGACCTTTTACTTCTATCTAGTTTGTTTCACTCTTTCTATTGAATATTCAGTGCCCCCATTTCATTTAGTTTGTTTTCCAATTTCTCCATCTCTTTTTTGTTTGTTGTTCTTTCTCAAGCCTTTATCAAGCACAGTAGAAAAGCTTTTGTATACCTATATGTAAATAGTATGTACAATATATATTTTAGAAAACATAAATTTCTACCTAACTAAGAATTTTGACATTTGGATTCCATTTGTCTGACTTAGTATGAATAGGTGCTAGATTCCTAATTAAAAAAAAAAAGATATGCAACAAGCAACAAAGGTTTACTGTATAGCACAGGGAACTATAGTCGATATTTTGTAATAACTTATAAGGCAAAGTAATCTGAAAAACAATATGTGTATATGTGTACCTGAATCACCTGCTGTGTGCCTCAAAGTCAACTATACTTCAATAAAACACACAGATTAAGAAAAAAATTAAATACAGCAGTGTGTACATGTCCATCCTAAACTCTCCAACTATCCCTTCCTCCATTCTTCAGCCTTGGCAACCGTAAGTTTGTTCTCTGAGTCTGTGAGTCTCTTTCTGTTTTATAAGTAAGTTCATTTGTATCATTTCTTTTTAGATTCCACATATAAGGGATGTCACATGATATTTCTCCTTCTCTGCCTGATTTCATTCAGCATGAAAGTCTCTACATCCATCCCTGTTGCTGCAAATGGCATTATTTCATTCTTTTTGATGGCTGAGTGATATTCCACTGTATATACGTACCACATCTTCTTTTGTCCATTCCTCTGTCGATGAACATTTAGGTTGCTAAATGTCTGGGCTACTGTAAACAGTGCTGCAATGTGCCCTCACACTCCTGAGGAACAGACTGTGATGGAAGAGTTCTAGAGTGGCACCGCCCAACACAACTTACCTCAGTGGTGGCCACATTCCACAATCTGTGGTGTCCAGCATGAAAGCCACTAGCCACATGGGCAACTTGAGCCCATGAAACATGGCTAGGAACTGAAATTTTAACATGACTTAACTTGAACTTATTTAAATGCAGCTGGTGGGAGGGGGGACCGGGATGGGGAATACATGTAAAAAAAAAAAAAAAAAGATACACTATGGTTGTGATAAAAAAAAATAAATAAATTAAAAAAAAAAAATAAATGCAGCTGGTGGCCACTGTCTTAGACAACACATTCTAGATCATCTGCCATGGGAGAAGCATCTGCTACAAATGGAATGGTCTCTGGATGAAGGGGGTTTCCAGATTAGATGTAAATATGAGCTCTTAAATACTTTATAAGTTTTATAAAAAACTGAGGACCAGGGCCTTTTCAGACTGTTCATGGGGTTCTCAAGGCAAAAATACTGAAGCGGTTTGCCATTCCCTTCTCTAGTACGTCAAGGAGTACATCAAGGCTGTATATTGTCACCCTGCTTATTTAAGTTATATGAAGGGTATATCGTGAGAAATGCTGGGCTGGATGAAGCATAAGCTGGAATCAAGACTGCTGGGAGAAATATCAATAACCTCAGATATGCAGATGACACCACCAGAAAGCGAAGAAGAACTAAAGAGCCTCTTGATGAAAGTGAAAGAGGAGTGAAAAAGTTGGCTTAAAACTCAGCATTCAGAAAACTAAGATCATAGCATCCTGTCCCATCACTTCATGGCAAGAAGATGGGGAAACAATGGGAACAGTGACAGACTGACTTTATTGTTTTGGGCTCCAAAATCACTGCAGATGGTGACTGCAGCCATGAAATTAAAAGACGCTTGTTCCTTGGAAGAAGCCTTTCATTTTATCTGCCTCTTTTCATGGGCACAATCATTAGTACCACATTAAAAGGAATTCCCTTTTGCCCTGGTCCTCAGTTCAGTTCAGTTGCTCAGTCGTGTCCAACTTTTTGCAACCCGATAACTGCAGCACGCCAGGCTTCCTTGTCCATCACTAATTCCTGGAGCTTACTCAAACTGAACAAACCTAGACAGCATATTAAAAAGCAGAGACATTACTTTGCCAACAAAGGTCCATCTAGGCAAAGCTGTGGTTTTCCCAGTAGTCATGTATGGATGTGAGTTGGACTATAAAAGCTGAGCGCCAAAGAATTGATGCTTTTGAACTGTGGTGTTGGGAGAAGACTCTTGAGAGTCCCTTGGACTGCAAGGAGATCCAACCAGTCCATCCTAAAGGAAATCAGTCCTGAATATTCATTGGAAGGACTGATGCTGAAGCTGAAGCTCCAATACTTTGGCCACCTGATGCGAAGAACTGACTCATCTGAAAAGACCCTGATGCTGGGCAAGATTCAAGGTGGGAGGAGAAGGGGACGACATAAGATGGTTGAATGGCATCACCGACTCGATGGACATGAGTTTGGGTAAACTCCAGGAGCTGGTGATAGACAGGGAGGCCTGGCATGCTGCACTTCACAGGTCACAAAGAGTCAGACACGACTGAGCTACTGAACTCAACTGAGGACCAAGACAATACGGGAATTCCTTTTAATGTGGTACTAATGATTGTGCCTCATGGAAAGAGGCAGATAAAGTGAGAGGGTTTGGTCCATTCTGCAAGGGCTTAACCAGGAACAATGATGATCCTGAGAAAGGAGGGCATGAACCTTCTGAAAAGGAAGCAGAGAGAACAGATCATGTGAACTCCAGATGACCTAAGGCAGTGTAGGAATCAGAAATGCGGTATAAGGTGTGGAGTAGATATGGATGGATTTGTTAATATGGAGAAAGCAGGATTTCCCAGGGAAGAGTGGGCGACTGGTTCAGCTGGCAGAAGTCTGGACTGGAAGTCATCAGAGTTTGATCTATGGCTTAAACCCAAAACCCCACATTGATATTGAGTAAAAGTAGATGACTAGGCCTGAAATCGGGTCACCAGAGCCTAAGAGGAGGACTGTTAATCTTTTAAACACAGGTCCAATCAAGAAAAAATCTACTTGTTAATCATTTAATAGCCTCAAATTTCCATTCAGTCTGCAAAAGCAAAATTAGACATGTTACTCACTTTCCATGTTGGAGTACAGTGAGTAGGTTGATGAAAGCGGAGACTGCCAGAAAAGACAAAGGGGATTCAATTTGATAGAAAATGTCTTCCCTTTTAAGCTTGATAGTGGCAGCAAAAAGCAAAGCTAAATAAAACTCCAAACCCCAAACAATCATAGACAAGGATCTGTGAAGTGGAGCCCACCCTGACCCTGTGCTGGGAGGGGATCTACCCCCAACTCATCAGGAGAAACTATGCACATCTCCACAACAAGGAATGACAGCATGCTGCCACAAACTATGCACAGGCTTTGACAATTATATTTTGGTATTTGACATTTAGGAGCAAGACTCAACAAGAAGATAAATGGATATCAGTGTTTTATTAAAAGTAGAAAACACTAGAATATGGCAAAATGGGCATAGGAAATTTGTTGTTGTTCAGTCACTAAATTGTGTCCGACTCTTCATGACCCCCATGGACTGTAGCTCACCAGGGTCCTCTGTCCATGGATTTCCCAGGCAGGAATATTGGAGTGGGTTGCCATTCCCTTTTCCAGGGATCTTCCCAGATCAGGGATGCTTTCTATGGCTACTGTTATTTATAGTAAGAATCGGTGACTCGATCATACTGCACCCAGAACCTTCCGTGATGATGGATATGTTCTACTCTGTGCTGTCCGGCACAGCAGTCATTAGCCACACATGGCTACTAAGCCCTTAAGATGTAGCTAGTCTAATTTAGGACCTGAAAATTTAACTGGATTTAATTTTAAACAACACAGCAAGATCATCAATCATTATTTTAAAGACAAAGACTTTAATGGGTATATTGTGCCAATCTAAAAACAGTAAAAGCCTTAAAGCTTTTCTGAAAGGACTTCAAAGGGTATGTTGGAAAAATTTTCTGGGTAAGTCATAATTAATTCTAGAGACCATCTCATTTAATGCACATCCTGAATAATCGGATTTTAAAAATCCCTGAATCCTTTTTTCATAAGGATTATTCCAGTTCATTCATATGTCAAGTAACATTAGGTAATATTGTGAAGAATACATTACAGTATTCATTCTAATTATACACTGTTAAAAGTATGCAGATATGCAATCAAATATATGTGCACATTCCCTGCTACCAAGCATGCTTATTGGTTGTTCCTATTTCTTAACACTGGCAATTGTTAAGATTTTAAACCTGTAGTATTTCAAATGTCTTAAGCAAATCTTACAGTAAAATGAGAATCTGTTACAGATTCATTGGAGAGTTAGGTTTATTCAGGGAGGAAACTGAGTGGAAAAATAGGGTACACCAAGAAAGTCAGGGCCAGATTTAGTCAGAAAGGATGGAAGCATCATCTCTAAGCAACCGAACTCAAAAAAATTAGCAAGCATCTAATAAAATTTAAAATTTGAAAGTACAAGTAACTGTAAGATGAGGCTCTGAGTATATTTGGAATAGTAAAATAGATTGTGTGTAACTGTCTATATAAATGATGGGCTATTTGCACTGCTAAGGCTGTAAACCACTTATCTGCTGTTGCCTTTATTGAAACTGCTTCAACTCAGATTGAGGGAAATCACAAAATTTCTAGGAAAACTCACAGAATGTGCAAGCAGAAAGGAATTTTGCTATTGATTGCTATTCAAGCAAAAGAGAAATAGCTTACATTTTTTTTCCAGAAGTAAAGAAAGAGTAGGTGTTAAATGGGATGTCGTACTTAAGAGACATGAAATATTCATGGTGTACTGTCCTGAGACCACACTGCAATGTTTCTGTTGTACCACTGCATCAATATGCCCATGACATATTCTAGTGTTTATACGGGAGGCTGTGATATCAGGTTCTCCTTCATCAGATGAGAACAGTTTTGGCCTTACAAAACTGTTGACTGCATCAGTGTTTGGTTTAGCATGTAAAGCATGAACTAGAGAATTTATTATACCCACTTCATGTACGATGGACTTCATCAGAAGTATCCATTGAATCTACAACCAATGTGTGGGCATTTCTGTTCATACACTTTAAGAACACTTCAGATCTTATGTTTATTTCTAAGCATCTAGATATTTTCTTTTCTAAATAAGAGATAATATTACAGGTACCTGAGCTGAACTAAAGTGAAATAAATCTAGTGTGTATGTGGCTATGTTAAAAAAAAAAATACACGGGGGCATATGTGATTTCTTTGCAATAGCAGAAAATGACAAAAGGCAGTAAGGGTAATAAGAAATTATCTACTGCCTTGTTGATAATTCCTATTTGGCAACATGATTTTAACAGCATGTTTGCTCAGCTGATTATAGTTCAATGCTATGGCAAAGTATGATGCCAAATTAATTCAAGAAATAAGACTGCTTTCTCCTGAGAGGCATGAAGCACTATTTTGAACTAAACCTTTTTGTATTGTTTTCAAAACCAAAAATTTTCTAGAGTTTGAACACTAGGGGGCATCTTTGTTTTTTGAAATAAAGGCTTGTTTATGATTTCCCCCACCCCAAACAGTCTGAATAGTGGCTCTATTTTTTTGGTTCACATTTTTCTACATAAAGTGTGTTGGCACTGCAAGCTTTCTGCCTTTGGGTGGACATTTCCGTCTGTATATGGATTATATTAAGCAGCATGTGTAAAATAACTGGGACAGTGTCTGTAACAATCAGTTAATAGACGTTTGCTTCCTTCCCAGGCTTCTGCTGTGGTTAAACTTCAAAATAAAGACTGACAAACCCTCAAAAGGCAGACTGCTCAAAAATTTTGGCTTTACAGCCTTTATGTGCATTAAACACTAGAGTCTGATTTACATGTTTAGTCATGGGAAATGTTTTCTTTTTGAATTCATTAAGTAGTTCTGCTTTTCCTTGATGACAGTAAAGCTAACTTAGCAGAGATACCTAGCCTATTTACGGCTTAAGGCCTTACTATATTTGTCAGCAACGAATTTCTTTTGTCTTCCTCCTCTCTGCTCTGTTTCTTGATCTTTTAAAGTGCAAACGAAGATGTAACAGAGGAATCCATAACACGGGCGTCATTCATAGTGGAGACCCCTCGCGGGGTGGGGAGGCGGGACAGCTGGTGGCCAGCGTGGACCTGCTTCCAGGGCGGCGCTACACTCGAGGCAGCCGCAGGTTCTCCACCCCCATCCAAGTGTTTCTCTTTGGGGGACTTTTCTAGTGGGGAGAGGAGAGAGGGGAGGGGAGACAGGCTGGAACTTTTTTTTTGGTAACTCTGCACAGCAGCCTGGCATTTTACCTACTTCCTGGCTTCAAGGGTAGGGAGGCCGGGCCAGGCATCAGGGATAGGGAAGCCCTGTGCCAACAGCTGTCCGTGCTGCGCACACAGTCCCAAGGGGCGCTGCTGCCTGCTGGGGGCCTGGTCCACTTGGGGCCGGAGGGCGAGGCTGGTGTTGACGCAAAGTCGTTTTTCAACTCCCCTTCTATCTGGTTTTCTGATCATCACAAAAGCTCTCTGATGCCCACTATGAAGCTGGCCCCTCCCCGACAAACAAGCAGTCACCAGCAAGGCATCTGGGAAGGAAGAGTGGGTTGAGTTCCTCTCGTCCATGCCCCTAAAGTCAAAGTCACATGGGATCTCTTTAAAGAAGTTTTCTTGTCCAATACAGAGCTAATAAATTTCCTCGGTGCTCTTCAAACACATGGTCTCTATTACAGTACTCATTAAGCTGACACGGGGTTTAATTAGTTGTGTAAACACATTTTCCCCATCAGATTGCATTCTCTGAGGTTAGGGATGTGTTATGTTTATTTCAGAATACTTTGTCCTTAACCTAGTGCTCTGCATACTGCAGGCTCAACACATGTCTAAGTGAACTGAATTAATTATCATATACCTCACTGAATTATGAAATTTTGTTACTGGAAGAATTAACATAAAATGAAATTAATGTCTCTAATTAAAGAGAACAGGAACTAATTAATTTGTCAACAGTCTTGAAACAAACTAGTGAAAGAACCAGGACCTAAAAAAACAAAGTCCAGTAACCCTAAGCATTAGGACAAACTATATAGTTTCTCACAATTTTCTGTTTCCTCATCACTGATGGGCTAATTGTTTGATTTTTTTTAAATATAAACTTTTATGGATACCTTTCTTGTCCCCACTAATCATATATAGCATGTAAATAAAAGTCAAACTAAAAATCAGTGTAATTTTATGTCTAGTTTTAACAGAAGTCAAGTCTAAAAGTACAGGAAATCTTGTCACAGGTAGAGGTGCTAGAGCAATACCAAGAAATAAAGGAATCCACACAACACTCAATCTTGGGTTCCATTCCAGGTAAAATTTAGGCATGCTACCAGCTACTGCTTCAAATTCTGATCTCTGGTAAAGATTGAATTCGGGCAAAATGAAGGTAAAATTAGAAGGGTTTCTGTTCTGATTCTGTTTATAGTTTGGTAGACCCTCCATAATTTTACTAATGGCAGCACGTGTATTGGAGGCACTGATTCTGTGAACATGAGACAAGCTTGGGTTTTGAAGTTCTTCATTCCAGTTCAGGCATTCTTAGCAGAGAACGTGGGTCAGCATCACTGCTGAAGCTTTTTCACCTGGAAGTATGCTGGGCCCCACTCCTGGAAATCCTGAGTCACTGGGTCTAGGGAGGGTTCTGGGAAATTGTATTTTTAACAATTCTATAGGCACTTCTAGTGTGAAAAAACAGTTAATTAACTATTGTAGAGTGTAATCACTCCTTGAGAAAGATACCATGTCCTTTTGGTCTCTGCAGTGCCTATCTATTGCTTTGGTAAGTGCTCAGTAACTGTTAAATGGAGAAATGAATTTTATTGCTTCTCTGCTGCTGTCTACTTTTATGTAGACACGAAATGCTGCCTTTGTTTAAAACTATAGTCACACAAAAAATGATGTGAGCATCTAGTTCAGGTTAAATGTAAACAACACATTAACACACCAGGCAGGAAAGTCTATAGAGTATGAAGTAAAGGCAGCATCTTAGAGACAACTTTCAGAGCCTCAAAGGACAGCACTGAGAACAGACTTGGTTTTGCAGTGATCCAAGACATTTCAGTAATGTGAAGACTCATGAAAATGATCAAATATGCAACCTATTTCTAGTACATTCCTTTATAATGTATGTTTTCTGTAGAAAAATTATTAAAATTTTCATTTTTGTAACTATGTACAGAGAATCAGAGTTGAAAGTGCATTTTTTAAAATGTTTATAAAGAAATTCCATATAATTTTCTAACTCTTAAAAGATCAACCTACTGAACTCTAAATAGTCATAATAATGGCTTTATGCATTTATTCTAAAGAGCTTCAGAAATAAAATCTGGATATAATAACGTAGTCAGGGGAATACTTACACTCTCACTCTGAAAAGGATTTAAGAAATTTCCCCCCATTTCGCCATCATCCCTTGGAGTGCCCGGCTGATTACTCAGGCTCATATTATTGGGAGAATTCTATAAAAAAAATTTAGAAAACAAAGCATTTTTAAGGTTTTAATTTCCCTTTTACACTGTACTGTTTCAAACATGGAATCTATAGCATCATCTCTAAGGACAAAGTAGATATAATTCCTATGTCAGACTTCTACCAGGTATTCAGTTCATTCTTAGTACCTTGACAAGTACTATATACTTTCCCAAATGAAAATTAAAAAACAGAAACTCCAAATAACTCAGCATAACTCTTCATCTTAATCTCAGAATCAGTATTTATTCAAAATCTCACCTTCAGTTTACGGAGTTCCTAGGACTCTGGAGAGTTGAAGAAACATTCCCAGGAGGGCCATGATGAACAGAGTGGCTACCCACTGATTCGACAGGATGGAACAATGCCTTCCCTGGGTGATTTTACTACCAGACTCGAAAGGTCACTATTTTCATAAACAATTTCCCTTTAATTCTACATGCATGTTATATAAGTAACACGATTTTAGCTATTACTTTTATATGAAACATCAGGGAAAAAGGAAAATAGTTAACGATAGTTAAGAACAAGAGGAATAAATACCCTAGAACTAGAGAATTCAGTATGTATTTGCAGAGAGAAAGGAGGCTCCTGTGTGGAGGAATCTAGAATCCTTTCCAACCATTTGTTTGAGGAGACTTATTCAAAACTCTTAAGGCAAAATGGTTGATAGGCGCTATGGAGTCAAATACTAAGTTAGCAGTATATTTCTTTACGCTCCATTTACATTTCCTAGTCCCATCACTACTGTGTGATTTCAGCCACGTGAGGTCATCTGACGCGCCAGCTCCAGGGAATGCAGAGCGGCAGCGGCTACAGGGCATGTGCACACCGACGGCTCCTGTCACCGAGGGACTCTGGGAAAGACGGGCCGCAAGGGTGAAAGCTCGTTATTTCAAACGGAAGCCAGGTTTTGGAGTCTTTTCCTGAGTCACTGCCATTTTATATTCTGTTTCTGAATAAGTTTTTAGATTTTTTTTTAAAAGAAAATTTCTGAGGATTCTGACTCAAGTTATGTCATAAAGATGAGAATTTCATGAATGCGTTATTCCCAGAAGAATATATGCTTTTAAACAATACGGTTAAAGTGTAAAGCGGAAACAGGTAGACGAGCTGGTGGAAATACAGCTCGTGTCTTGGCGTGCTCTGCGCCTCAGAGGGAGGATCTGGGCACACGGATTCTCTGAAGTCCATAGGCGCACCATTTGCTAGTGAACCCCCAGGGCCCAGGAACCACTGCCTAAAGGCATAAAGAAGGTTCTTTTTTTTTTGACAACTGCTTTTCCTATGAAAATGTTAGTTTCCTAAGTATAAAATAACTGGACTTTGAAATGTACAGGGATAACTTGATTTCCTGGAAAAAAAATTAAGTAAAATTGCAGTGCAACCACTTAAGCTATAACTCACTAAAATAAATTATTAATCAACTGTTTTAAAATAAGGAGTAATAATATTGACTTAGTTCAAAATAGGGCAAATTTATTTTAAAAACTATTGTAAGATTTACCCCAAGTCTAGCAGTCTTTTTGGTCCAGACTGATTTGTCATTTCATGGACAAACTGTAATCGTGGAGTAAAAAATAATCTGCCGCACCTCTATAGGGGTATTTGAGGATGTATTTGGAAGCTATACACTTGGATGTATTAAAAAAAAAACAGATGAAACAAGCCCTCTCCATCTTAGTGTGATATTCGGACCCCTGGCCAGAAGCATGCAAGATACCCTGAGAGGAGCAGCACATCTCTGAATAAGCTGGGTGCTCCCAGACTCTGCTGCATTTCTGCCATGTATCATTCCTTCAAAAAAGTTTTCATTTTATATTTAAACATTTTTAAAAATTGGACTATAGTTGATTTATAATGTTGTGTTTCAAGTGTATAGCCAAGTGAGTAAGTTATACAAATACATACACCCATCCTTTTTCTTTTCAAGGTTCTCTTCTCATACAGGCCATTACACTGTGCTGAGCATAGTAGGTCCATATTAGTTATTTGTTTTATAAATCTCTCAATTTATCCCTCCCCCCCTTACCCCCTGGGTAACCATAAGCTTCTTTTCTACATCTGTAACTCTATTTCTGTTTTGTAGACAAGTTCATTTGTACCTTTTTTTAGATTCTACATATAAGTGATAACATTTCTTGATTTATAACTCTGAAAGTTTGGCTACATTCATATTGATTCCTGATTCAAAGTGTCAATTAAAAAAATATTTAAAGTTTAAAAGTAACAGTACATTAATATTTAAATACTTTTAAAACACTTCATGGTGTAGTCTTCCATGTAGTCTTTTCATAGCGTGGTGACTCAGCGTTAAGCTGTTTTATGAGCGGGTAGTGGTGTATGTAAGAACATTGAGAGGAAAGTTAAAAGGACACATCCTTATACATAACTGAACTACATATCAGATCTCTGAAACTTGTTCCTATCTAGGTCACTGGGTACATTTGAAAATTATAAAATGATATAGGGCATTAAAAAAAAAATCTGAGGTAATTTCTGTAAAATGTTGTGAAAACAACAGAAGTTGCTGAATGGGGAGTCTTAAGGAAACCATCAACAGTGCTTTTGATGGTCCCTGGATGACATGATGAGGATATAGGGAAAGACATACTCAGGACTGGCATTGTAGGTTAGGGTGAGGGAGCAGGTTATGGTTCCAAACACCAGCCCAGAGCAGGTTACGGTGGTGGGTGGCAATGAACGGTGTACACGTTGCATGTAACTGTAGCTCTGGTTTTGTGTAGTATCTCCAGTAGGTTTCATCCATAAGACAAGACTATAGTGCACAAAAATGGTTATGTTGGTCAAACAACTTCTTAAAATAGGAAATTTTAAAAATGTAACACTGATGCTTGACAACCTAGAGGGATCAAATAGGGAGGAAAGTAGGAGGAAGGTTTAAGAGGGAGGGGACATGTGTATGCCTGTGGCTGATTCATGTTGATGTATGGCAGAAATCATCACTGTATTGTAAAGTAATTATCCTCTAATTAAAAATAAAAGTAATAAAAAAATACAGGTTTAATTGGAGAATTAGGAAGATGCAACTGGAGGTTCAAGAAGGACTGTGAACAAAAATAAGCAGTAGTGTTTATTAAAAAATAAGATTGTCTTCCGATTCGCAAAGAATGACTAGAAAAAGAATAGGATGAAAAGGAAAGAGCCCAGGAAATAAGAGAAAAGAGAGGAGAGTTTCTTGAGATAGCTGGACATGTGTTGGAAAGGAGGAAGATAGGGAAAATGAAGTTAGTGACACCTTGCATAGCTCAGTGTGAAAGACTGAAAAATTAAGCAGTGAGTGGAAAGAAGTAGGGAAGAAAAAATTGGGAGGGGAGTGTACGGTACGTTTGATGCTGCTGATTAGAGATAAAGTGACCATGAGTGTAGTGGAGATGGGACAGACAATCGTGCTGTCATCACCCAGACAGCCTGGTTAGAGCCTGCAACCTGGAATGAGCAGTGGGGCAGGGCAGAAATGAGAGGCTGAGGAGTCCATCTGAAGATGGATGCAACTAGTCATTTCTAGTACATTGTTGAGTAGCAAGTTTATTACTTGGGCATAGTTCTCAGGTCAACTGAAATGTATTTGAACTTTCCTTTGTAAAAGTTTTTCCTTATTGTATTTGTTTGGTCTCCTTAGTTATACTAAGCTTTTGGGGGGCAGAGATTATATCTTGTTTAACTTTGGATTTTTATAGTCCAGATTAATGCCTTGGCACATTCATGTTTACTGAATGGAGGAATTCCTGCCTAAGTATATGAACCATTGAGGATGAAGATTATGTTTGTATTTAAAGAAGTCTTTTTTATTTTCCCACAGTGCACAAGGCAGTACTCAGTACACAAAAGTACACAATGGGTGGCCAATTAATGCTTCAAGAATAAACAGTACATCATTAGGCAAGACAATGTTACTAGCAGTGGACACAGTGTGATGGAAAAACTTGTTTCTGGGAATAGGAATGGAAAAATAAGCATAGATGGCATAACAACAGATCTTATGTGAAGGTAGATTAGAAGATGGTATTTCATTTGTCACTATGGCCCTTAACATTTCTTTAAAGTGCTTTATAATTACAAACTACTTCCCCATGCAAAATTTTGTTTACATCTATGTAGTATACAAGGTTATGTTAGTGGAAACTTTAGGAAGATGGCCTTAAGCAAACTGGATGTTCCCGGCTTTGTGTAAAATAGATTATCTTTGGATATTAGAATATGCTTCTCAAATTTAACTTCAGACATTTTACTGTGACCACAAAGCACAATTCAGCCAACATCAATTGTCAGATACCTAAGATAGGCAATATAATCATGGTCATCTGGTTTGTAAAGGTGCTTCCGAGAAAGGAGTCTCTAATGGAATTATACAATGAATCTTATTTTGAAAACAAGATTTTTGAAGGCTTACCTAATATAATTTCTCACAGAGGTAAGACAGTGCCCATTGTATATATTTATCTATTTTTAGAAAAGAAAAAGAGCTTCCCAGTGGTTCCTAAACACAGACATCCAAACTGCATGTCAAACTTCTCCGGCCAAGCGCCCAAGCGATGCAGATATAATGTCAGGATGCCAATTAAACTTTCTCTCTCTCTCTTTCAGTTTGAAGTCTTAATTTGGAAATATCCATAGCTCAACTTCATTTTGCTTTTCTTGGCATCAGGAATTTTACTTTATTATACATGAATATAAATTCAAAGTGGAATTAAAAATGAAGGCATCCTTTAATGAATTTCTGTATTTATTGGTATAAAGCAGACTTCTGAGAGAGTCACTCTAGTGGTAGTTAATAATTAGTTCTTATCAGCCATTCTAAATATATATTTGACCCACAGAGAACTATTTTAAAATTCACCATGACCTAAAAACTATTTAGGTATTCTTCTTCAAAAAATATAAGGCATCTTAGCAAAGGATTAATTTTAGATACTCAGATGATTGACAGAGGAAAAACATGGACATGTGCTATTAGAAGGGTAACTTTCCTACTTCTGTTAAGATAACTTCCCTCTAATTACTTTCTTACTCTATTTTATGGAACTATAATAATGATTAAGGACATCAGCATTGCCTGATAAGGGTCTGAATGACAAATGAGATGTATAAATGTAATACTTAATGCATATAATAATCACTTTTTCAAATTTACCTCTTTTCATGTTGCTCTAGACTCCTTTACATTTTCAAGATTATCTAAACGATGTCAGTTTGCTTTACAAATGCACAACATCATAATGTGATTAAACTGATTGTTATTTACTGGGTATCATTTAATCATATACATCACATCCTGTAAATGAATCTTAGCATGCTTTGAAGCCTTCTTAAAAGACTCATTTTACCCTTTCCCACAGATTATGTGCATTAATATTTTAAACTTCTACTTAATTGTATCTCACCTTCTACTTTCAAGCTCTTGTTCAAGAACAAAATTCATAATGTTACTCTCATAATGTTAATAAGAGTTCTGTGTGGATATAAAATACAGATTAAAAATCACAGAATATACAATACTCACCTTGGAAATACTGTCCATATCTCCTGAGCCTAAAACAAAATATGGGAAAAAAAAGCCTTTATTAGGTAAATATTCTATTTATAAGTTAAATATTCCTTTAATATAAACAAATGCAATAATAAACTACACTGTATGTATTTTCCAATGCATGTCTCCTGGATTTTTGAATCTCAAAGAATTACTTTTCTCTTATACTATGTTGTGAATAAGTATCACCTGATGGCAAATTCAAAGAAAAATTGCACCTCTACTTCCCAATTATCTACGTTTTTGGTTAATGGTAGGATAAAAATAACTATTGTGACCATAAATCCCTGAAAGCGAAATAGCAGATGTACATATCCTACTCAATTCAAAATTTTAACATGTGTAAACTAACATACATATGTGTATATATGTTTATAGATATGCAACTAGATAGCAAGAGAGAGAGATCTCTTTTCTGAAATGATGCTTCTATAAATCTGATAAAATGTAGAATGGACACTTGCAACATGACCTGACAATATTCTGAACCACATTTCACTATAATAACCCAAATTGAAGTATTTTTACTATTAAAATTTTGGCAGCAATCTATCAAAAGTTAAAACGTCTTCAAAATATAATGCTGTAGTTTTATTTTAATTCTTAGAAATGGACCATCAATACTAATTTATTTTCTCACCTAAGAAATGGAATCACAACTTAGGTAACAAAAATAATCAAATCCTTGCCACAATTTTAGCTTTATTTTCAACTATTTACATAATTATCCTGGCATAAAAATAATATATTTTAATAGCACAGCATTCAATAGACAGTCATAAACTAAGAGCTTATTAACATGATTAAGTTATAAACAAGCATAATAAGCTGTTAAATACTAAATGTATATATAATTATGTAAAATATATAGTAATATTTATGATAGATAACAAGTAAATGTGAAACTATTCTGAAAATTCTATTTCAGTGAATAACATAACTGAGAATCTTCTTTGACCAAATGCTATCTTTTTATGAATGCTATTACAATTGAAAGACTGGAAAGTAAATTATTTTGCAATAAATTAGAAGGTAAAATTCTAGAATGGTGTTGTCCAGTAGAATTTTGTGTGATGCTGGAAATGTTTCTTTGCACTGTCTGTTATAATAGCCATCAGCAAATGTGACTATATGCATTTGATATGTAGCAGTGCAACAAGGAACTGAATTTTATATTTAATTTAAAATCAGTCACACATGACTAGTAAATACCATAATGGGACTGTACAAATTAATATTTTGAAATCTAGAAAAATAAGCATATATCCTTAAAAGTAAAAAAGTCTATCAAAGTGTAATTTCTTGATTACTGAAGTTACATAGCTTTTCAGAATATAAGAGGATGGTATTTCCTGACCTAGGGTGAAAGTGAAAGTTGCTCAGGCATGTCCGACTCTTTGCAACCCCATGGACTGTATAGTCCATGGGATTCTCCAGAGCACAATACTGGAGTAGGTAGCCTTTCCCTTCTCCAGGGCATCTTCCCAACGCAGGGATCAAACCCAGGTCTCCCACCTTGCAGGTGGATTCTTTACCAGCTGAGCCTCAAGGGGACCTAGGATGGGGTTGTGAAATCTGTGCATAACCTGAGTTACTCATGGGCATGGTTTCTCCAACTTAAGTAAAAGATGGTTCTTAAAGGAAAAAAATTAGCACAAACCTCCAACCCCACTGTCAACTTTTAAAATAGTTTATGATATATGATGATGATAAACATACAGATATAAAATAAACATTTTTTCTTTATTTTACTTTTGCATTTGGCCTGCCTACACATACAGTGTGCTGTGTGACCACATCAATTTTTTACCACTTGTTTCTGTTTCTAACTGGTGTGAACTTTTTGTTCACCTTGCAGGTAGCTCACTTCATTTGGTAAGAAAACATCATTTATGAAGCATGTTTTCAACCATTATTTGCACTATTTGAAATCAGCTTTATTATGAACACAGACAGTATGGGCAATGTTTTTTCTTAAGAGAATCAGTTTATCCATAATATGATAATTGGTTTTACTTTTTTAAAAAAGACAAACATTAAAAAGGAGAAACAAAATCAAGAAATTCTTGCAGAGAACCGAAGTTCCTCTGAGACTATGTCTGTAGACCTTGGGAGATACCAAAGGCCCATTGGGAGGATTTCACAGTCCTCCAGGTGCCCAAAGCTGCAGCATCTCTTTTTATCAGATTTTGATAGGTTAAAGGAATATGAGCTCGGATAGAACAATTCTCACACATCTGAGTTTTCAAATGTTCTCCAGCTATCATAGCAAATATCCTATGGGTTAAACTATCAGCTGTAGGTAAAAGCTGAAGCATTTCAAAATGAGCTCCTATACACAGAAGAACTTTGTAAATCATGATATTATGTCGAATTAAGGTTTTGTTTTGAATTCATTTCTGAACATCAAATTTAATATCCTTACCTAAAGAGCCATTCATGTGATGTGACTCCATTCCTCCTAATCCACCCATAGGACCATCTGACCCAGGGCCCATTGGAAACTATTTAAAAAATGGAAAAAATGACTGTGATCATATTGAAAACAGGTGTTTATCTCAATGTCACAATATTTATCTTCAACACTGTAAGATACTTCTACAACTTATTTTCATTTACAAGTTATAGAGATTATTTTCCTAGATTTTTCCCCAGCTTTCTAGAATCTCTATCTGGACTGCTATTTCCCTTATTTCATCTTCTCTATGTTCTGGATCTTCAAGCTAATCCTTATCCATATCCAAATTTTCCTTAAGATACCCTTAACCAGAAAGCACATATATTCCAGTGCAAATAAGAAGAGAAGTACTTTCTTCTATGCTGTTGACAAATTTTGCTATTATAAACCAGAGGTAATTCTTAAGAAGCTGTTAAAAGTATTGGCTTGTTAATAAGAAGAACTGAACATTATACATTTTTCGTAGCAGACAATCTCTTGTTGTTCAAATGGACATAATAAATAATGTCATCTTGCAGGTTAAGTACATTTAGTGCCTTGGGGATAGCTGAATACACCTAAGTCGTCTTAGCAATCTCAACCATGTCATTTCAGTGACAATTTGGCATTCAACAGCAGTTATATTTAACATTTTTTAAAAAGTACTGTTACTTTATTTTCAAGTGAAACCTTACATTAGGAGCCTAGTACAACACACGTGTGAATAGATGTACTGTGGTAGAGTAGGTGGTGGAAAAGTCCGTGACCTGCCGCTCAGTCTTTGCCTCAACTCCCTGGAGTACTTCAGAGAAAGCTCAGACTCCACTTTGAAGACAGGCTATCTATAATCACCTTCTATTTACAGTGAAGATACTGAAAACACTTGTTAGTAAAATTTCTCATGCCCAAATAATTTCTTCCATGTTGTATGGTGCAGAATACTGAATGTGTGTGTGGTGTATATATGTCTATAGATGTTGTATGTATATGTGCCTATAGATGGGGTGGTGATGGTTACTCATCAAGGAGGCTTTAAGGGAAAAAACTGCCTCAGCAGACACGCTGTATATCACCAACTCTGTGTGGAAATAACATGGCTTTCCATCACCATGCTCACACATATCACATGCTTATACATCTTCCCAGGGTGATGCCAATTCTGTTGCCTAAAAGCAAAAGTATGGATTGTTTTTTATTTTCCAGTAACAACTTGGAATATGTATGCCTCTAATGAGAGGTCAAAGAAATTAACTTTGAACTTACTGTTGTTTTTCAGCTTTTTTTTTTCTTTTCCCAAGCATAGTTTAGATCTGGGCTGAGAAACTGGTACCAGTGAGGCTAACAGCCTGCGATCCTCCTTGGTATGGTCCTTTATCTGGCCATCACTGTGCTTTAAGCAACACTGACTGTAGGTGTGATGCTTCAAACACAGAACACTACAGTCCGAGCCCTCAACAGGCATTGGCTTTTACTACCCATGGCTCAAATAAGTGATATTTGAAAGAATGATGTGGTCATCTCTACGTCTTTTGAATCTCTTATCTTTGTAACAAGTGAGAGAACCAGAATGGAATACAGTTCTGCGGTATCAGTTCCGCTGCCTGCAGAAATGTCTTCAGTACCATATGCTCTTGGTTTCCTCCCTTATTCCTTCCCTTTCAAATATCAAGTTTTAAGATATGAAATTTCAGTATGAAGTGCTCTTCTATATTTGTGCTGCATTTCTGAAATGAACATTGTTCATGACTGTATTCAATGTTTTTAAAAGCTCTGTGAAAACATCTTTTAGACATTACTGACAGGAAATTTTTTTTTGCTGAAAAAATTTATTTGATTATATAAAGGGAATACTGGTAATTGAAGACAGTGCTGCTTAGTAGAAATAAAATATGTAAAGTTCAAGTGTGAACTATGTAAGTAAACTTGGATTTAGTAGCAGCTATCTTTAAAAAGTAAACAGGTAAAGTTAATTTTAATAATTTTATTTAGTTATGTAAAATTATCATTCAAAAATAATCAATACAAAATTTTAATGAGATATTTTTTCGTAAAAGTCCTCAAAATCCAGGGTGTGTTTCATACTTGGAGAACATCTCAGTTTGGATTAGCCACATTTCAAATACCATACCCCACTGGACAACTTAAAAGTTTCCCTTTGTAGTCCTCACTGATAGGAAGCTCAATTATATTTCATCCCCAGTTTTTGGTATACTTTGGGGAATTCTTTATACATGTTTTGATTTTTCTTTAATTTGAGCTATCTTTTGTTCATATATATATATATAAACTGTATTGTTATAAATATATTTTGTTAACATGTAGGTTTCATAGACCAATACCATTTTTCTGTAAGCATTTGTAGAAAAATCACAAACATATGCCTTATTAAAAATGCCCAAATTCTTTCTGTAGAACTGCTTCAGTTCTATATTTAAACTCCAGATTTCAAAAATTTAAAGAAAAACAAGCATATTCAACTTCCTAATTTAGTTTTGAGTTTATCAGGAAAAAAACACAACCACCTGAATAATGATGTGCAAAATGAGGTGATCATAAATGATTACACATTACCTGTCATCTTCAAATGTCAATATAAATTATTAGATAGTCAAGATAAAATAAGACCACATACCAACATTTTATAACTAAGTTCCATTTTACATTTACATTATACTAATATTAAATCTCTTGTTATGTATGTTATATATAATGTTTTTTTCCAACCCAGAACATAGAATCTGATATTTTGATATCCAGTAAGGTCCTGGATAATAAAATACAAAGCCAGTATCAAGGAAAAGAAATGTACTTAGAGACTGAGTCTTCAAATACATTCCAAAAATTTTTTAAAAAGGCATAGTTACATTAGGCCTGTTAGGTCCTGGAGGTACTGCATTCATTAAAGTATACATGTTGTCTCCAGAGTTGGTTGAATCTGAAACAAAATATTATTGAATTAATATCTTTCATTATAATTTATGCCCAAGTCATCACAAAATAATAATCAAAGATGATCTGGATACCTATATATATTAATAGCTGTACCACTTGACATAGTCATTACCGATGTTCAGAAACCAGTATCTGTAATCATTTTCTGACCCAGAAATTATTCTGAGGTCATAAATTAGGAATATTTACTTAATATATTAGGAATAATAATTTGAATAGTTCAGGTCAAAAGGAATATCACTTTAAAAGGTTAAAAAATTAACCTTTTCCTTCTTTAAAAACATGAAACCCTTTGACTTCTCTAAGCAATTTATATGAATACCTATAACAAAAATCTCTTAAAATTCAGATTTCGCAAATTTTTAGTTATTATTTATTAAGGTTTCTTAATAGACAAATTTAAAAAATTTATTTAGCTAATAATAAAAGCTGGTGGAATATCCTGTCTTACTTCCCAAAGAAAGAGATTAGAACAAGATGATACAACTGGAATAAAAATTCTCTTGCTTGAAGTAAAAGCCAGCTTTCACTAGTACAACTTCAAATACAATTTTTTTTTGGTCATTTTATTTTTGATTCATTATAAAAAAATAACTGTAGTGTATATCCATATGAATACATGTAACATTTTACACTTCGTGTCTATTACTAGTCCTAATTAAGTTTCTGAGTATAGGTGTTTCTAATGTATAGCCTAGAGTGAAAGGCTTAATATTTTATATTTAGAAACTATTAGTTATAAAATGTTTTTCTATTTTCCCACAATTATATAGTTCTCTTAAATAAAATATTGTAGGCCTCTACTTTGAAAAAGTTATTTTACACTGATTTAAGGCAGAAGATAAAAATCATTCTTATGGCAATAACTGTAGTGAGAAATGGGCAATTACTTTTCCTCTTATTTTGTGATTATTACACATCAATTTATTGTTTTAGAGTAAGATACCATTTATTCTTTGTTTATAAACAGTGATCCATAATCCTAAGTATTATTTTTTACATCTAGATTAACACATCATATTATTAAGAAAGTTGAAATGCCCACCTCTGGCTGACCTCTGTTTATACTAAGTAAGCTCCTAATCTACTTTTGTGGCCTTAAGTATTCTTACATTTTTATGTATACTACACGCTTGTCAACTCAGGCTACTTTTTCTTTTCTGCATATGTGCATCCTTTTCCATCACCTTATTTTTGTTCTTTTTCCTCCAAGTGTCTTCGCTACCCAGTCTCCACTTACTGAGATTACACTCTCATTCTTCAAGGCCTACTGCCGATGATACCTCTCTTCCAAGAAGTTTTAGGTCCCCTGATACTTAAAAGTGTGTGAGTGCTCCTCCACCACTGAATTATGCTTTGCATTATAGTTAACATTTTGTCTTATTCTTCCCTCCAGCTTCAAATTAGGTTGGAAAGGGGCCATGTCTTGCTCATATTGTATACTATAGACAATAAATATCTGCTAACTTAGATTCAACTCATGGCATAAACTCTATCCCATAAAATCTTATCTTTCAGAAAAGCTGGGTTTGCTTTTTAAACATAGGAAAACTTCAAATGGCTTTTCACCTTTGTTAGTCTTACTAATTTTAGTAATTAATTTGAAAGGAAAATGGACTGTATATTTTAAAATATGCAGAAAGAAAATTCATTGCTTTTAAGACCAATCAAAAGAATTTCATCTGAAAATGAAAAAACATTGAGGGAATAAGTTTGGTATTTTTTAGAAAATGTCTGATTTCTTTTTATATACAAAAAAACTATAGATATTCTGGCACCTACTTTTTGGAGGCCGGGGCATACTGGCTTCATATTAGAGGACTGACTGATAAAGAATGAGTACATGAAAGAGCATACAGAAAAGCCAGCAATACTGGTGGCAATTTTTGGCTTGAAAGGAAGAATTGATCAGATTACTTATCACCTGCAAAGTTTAGTGTCACTCCAAAAATTTTCTTTGAGTACTGCAAGTGAAATATTTGTTAATCATATGCTACCTTCATAAATTAAACCTTAGCTTCACCAAAAGGAATGCAAACGTGGGCAAGATGTTCAATTCATATAATTCTATCTTCAATGAATTCTGTTCCACTTCACTGAAGCTGTTCTGAGGACAGAGATCTATGAAATATTTATGATTCATTCCAAAGAGTTAGTGAAGCAAAGTAAAATTCTGGCCCAATGAAACTTCTGCTTTTTCTAAATTAAGGTTTCAAAACTTAAAAATACTTATTGGTGTGATTAGTGATACTTAATTTCAAAGTTCTATATATCTTAGATTTCAACAAATTCATAAGATATGAATTTGAGTGCAACATAATAAAAATTGTTTTCTAATTATAAAAATTTTCCACATATTTCATTACCGAGAAGTTAAAACTGATAAGTCTATTTCTTATCTACTTTTTAGATTTCAGTGTAATATATTTAAAAATAATATTGTGATCATATTGTACTGAATCATGAACATTTATTTCTCTGTGTCATTTAAAGTTCTTTGACAATAATCTTAATGGCTAAAGTTTTAGTCCATAAAACGTAAAAATTTAAAAATATCACTGAAATTGGATTAGGCATGAAAGTTGTTTCTAGCCCACTGCTGGCGATATCAGATGAGCATCACTGTACATGATGCTTGGGTTATACCGCAAATCATTTCTAGTAGTAGGATTATGGAGTCAAATGGTGAGAACTTTTTCATGGCTCTTGCTACATGCTGCCAGGCACTTCTAAGAGGGCTGTACTATTAATATCACCAGAGGCCTCAAGACACAATACATTCACTAGTTTGTATTAAAGTCTCAAAGGAGAGAGGCATTTAAAATAATGATATTACATGATTCTAGGAATACTGAAGTATTTTAGTTTAAAAGATTAAACAACTTCCCCCATTACATAGTGGATTAGCTAACTAATAAATGCCTACAGATGTGTAGGATAAATGATATTGATAGCATATCCATATGTATTTTAGATGCTAGATACAATGAGTCTGATTTGCCGTATTAAACCTAATGGGTCCATATATTTCATGTGTTACTTGTGCAGAAATTTTCTCAAGCTGTGAGATTTGGATCTTTTCCACAGTTTCAAGAAAATTTCTAGTCAGATAAAATTATTGGGCAATTCATACAGATCAACACAGTTTTCATTCTAGTTAAATCTGTTACCTACACAACAGAAGTGTTCTAAATGCTTAAAGTAACTGGAAAATAGTTACTGAAGAGCACTATTTCCTCCTCCTTGCCCCCTCTACTCAACGTGTGAAACCGCCAGTGAGATAAAGGATACTGCTAACTTCCCCTCGTAACAGTTTCTGTACTCTGTTATTTCACTCTGAGAAATACCCACGTGGCTCATTCAGTCACAGTACCTGCGGGACTAGGCATGATGGGTGTTCCTGGTGGCCCTCCACCTCCGGGAGGACCCTAAATAAGTACACAAAATGTCAATGAAAATAAGGCATTGCATTTAACAATATAAGGAAAAACAGAAGTGAGACTTTATAACAATCCAATTTGAAAACAGCAGAGGCAATATATTTTCTCCATAATTTACTTTCTTTGAATGCACAATCATTTCACTGTTATGCAAAATATAATTTAGCTTAAATATACTGAGATTGTTTTGACAAGTTTCTCAAAACAGTGAGCCTATAACACTGATTTATAATTCATAACTTAATCACATCAGGTATAATGATGTTAAGGAGAAACAATTTAAGAGGGCCCTTAACAAATCCATAAAATAGAAATAATTCATGTGTATTTGTATTTATAATTTAGTTTACTGTAATTTTCTTATATTTTGTATCATTGGTTTTTATAGGCAATTGAAAACCAAAATATATTCATATATTTTAAAAATATATTGATGTGATTTCTTCTGTCAGTCTCAACTACAACATCTCTGATGCACTGTACCTTCAGCCATCACATCAATTAGAAATAAGAGGTAATGCTAACTAATGTAGAGGGTTCCTAAGGCTGTAGGTGCACAATCAATTTGAAAGCCTAATTCAGTTATTTCACACAACCAAAATGGATAATTCAGGCAGTGAGTTTTAGAATTTTCAGAGGGACATAGTCAAATTAACCTTAAAACAGCTGGATTTTTGTTTCATTCTGAGTGCACAGACATAGTCCACTAATTATTCCAAATAATACATGTATTGCTATTTACTAAACAGCTTAAATTTACTTTTAAATAAGTCAAATTTATAATTTCATAAAACTATATATGAAGCTTATTTTTAATTGACTTTAAGAAAAAATAGGCTGTACCCAAACTTTTTAACTTTCATTTTGGTTTCATGGAGAACATGAAAAAAGTTACTTTCTTAGTTTCTATAACTTATGGGAATTCTGAGTACTAAGTTCACAGGTCCAAAACTGTGTGTTTTTCACTGTGCTCACAGAACACTGTTTCCATGGAAAGTAAAACTGATCAATTGATAGTGATCTTCCAAAGTACTCTTTTTTCTTACTCTGGTTAACCACTGCCTATGAAAATTTCCTTGGGAAAGATTTTCCGCTTTACCATTTATTCCTGCTTCTCTGCTAAACAGTATAACAAATTATCTTCTGTGATGGCCTTTAGACGCAGCAAGGGTTATAATGTGATGATGGTTAAAAGGTCATTTGTAAGTTCAAGAGATCATATAAAAACTGCTGATTCAACAAATATAAATCATGGAAATTTTTAACATGTACAAAATGATAAGTGCTCTCGATTTCTAACAATCAAAATTAACACCTCTCTCCCAAATTATTAGTCATTATTCTGCTATCGGATTCTCTTTGTGATTGGGAGAAAGTTTAATGTCTTCTTAGACTGTGTGTATGGCAACGGGGTGGTGCAGGAGTGTAGATTATGAAGAACTGCAAATTCAAGCATATCATTGTGTAACTGGGGGTGCTGCTTCATGATTGGACAGGGTATTGTACTGGCTTACAGAAACATATGCTGAAGTAAAACGCAGTACTCAGGGCAATTTTGGCCAGATTGATAACTGTTTCACTAATGAACATCAACATATGTACTGAGGTTGGCAGACGAAACAACTCAATACAAATCAGATGTTCACTTCTTGGCCAATACACAGGGGCTCTTCTTAACATCTGGACAACTATTTCATTGCCCAAATAAAACGTAACATCAATTCTTATGAGCAAACAAAACCCAAATGTACTTACTACATAATTCCCAGGAGATGCTGAGGAGTATGGTATCTGGAACATGAACAGAAGAAAAAACAGACATATTCTGATTCATGTGGCAGTAAGGAGACTGACCTAAAATGAATCTATTTTCTAACTTTTATCCTTTGTGATAAATTTTAAAACTGATAATAAAGGATAAAAGCATTTATATATGTCTGAGTGCTAGAAAACTGAATAAAATGCAGAACTATCTTGAATTTATTAAAAAAGGGAAAGGATATCAGTCAAGAAGAATTTAGACAGAATTACAGTTTCAAGTTATATTGCTTTCAGGGCAGTTGTACTCACTGCTTGATTCTAGTGACACTTACTCTATTATTAGAAAGATATATATTTGTGCAGCTAAAAACCAGAAACCAGAATTTTTCAAATTAGTAGACTTTACAGATGCAATTCCTAATTTATGTGCATCTGGGATACATTATTTTTTTAGAGACAGGTTTCAGGCTACTATATTCATGCAGTATGGGTCAATACTTGATATATAAACCTCACTGTTTCCCCTTTTCCTTTCTAACTAGCTTCTAGAAAACAATATAATGAATGCAAAATATTTTGCTAATTTAAGTCTATGAGGACTACTAATTTGTGGGGATCAAATATGGGTAACATATTCCCTTGTTCCCTTCAAATCAAGCTCTTAACCAAGCTCTTTTCTAGAGATTAGAAGGTATTAATATGACATTGCTATGAAAATTTAAGAAATGAAAACTGGAAAACAAATATTTAAAAATAACTCCCTAAGTATAGATATTAATAGAGAAGTTGATCCAAATATTCTTTTTTTAACACAAGCTCACTATCTTACATCTTTCATCTTCTGCACATCCAGAGAGATATTTTTGCCTTATTCTGAAAAAAGCCAGTAAATTACTATGTTCTTGGAGTAAGACAGCCAGGGCCAAAATAGGACCTTCAGAATGGTGAAAAGATTATAGTGCCTGTACCTAAATGCTCCCTCTACATCAATATCTCCCTTCTAATTAAACATAAAAATAATATGAAATCATAAAGCAGAAAGACAACAAAGCTATACTTTTTCTAATGATTTTAATATTCAGTTATTTGAAAACCCTCTTCTCATTGTTTGGTGTCCTTGCTCGGCTTTAAGCCCAGACCACAGGCGTCTGAGCCTCTGCTTGGGCCACTTACTGTGTAACTCAGCACTGCGCACAGCCGATGCTGGAGTGCTCAGCATCGTGAGCGGTGAGGATTATGTCTGTGAGCATCAGGATCGCTATGGCACTGTACATTTACTCGACTGGGTGAATGAATACAGCTTTGCCCTCTTGGGTCTTCTGCAGTTCATGATCAATCATCCATCCTCTGCTAATTATTTTAAATACATGTACCTGCTGTCTCCAAATCACCAACTTATCCGCTGGCTCCGGTTTTCATCTCCTTATAACTTTAACATCAAGTTCATGTTCTTCTGTCTCTGTTGCCTACTGTCATCCTTAACCAACTTCAAGATATGATCTAACAACTCCAATATTCTTGCCTTGAGAATCCCATGTGTCCATGGGAGACTGGCGGGCTACAGTCCATGGAGTCACACAAGAGTCAGACATGACTTAGCGACTAAAAAAACCACTCTTTAGATGTTAAGAATACACACTCACTGCCTTTACTTTACAGCAATACCCTTCCCGCATCCCTCCCCCCCGGCCCAGTTTTTTTTTCATATATGAGCATGACTATATCCTAAAAGTTTTTGCGCAGAGATCTAAGATCTAAATAACTTTCCTGACTGACATCTTTCTTGTTCTTCATGACATTCAAAAACAACATTCTATATTCCAACCAGAATCTTATCCCATCACAATTCCAGCATTTTCTTTCTCTAATATTGTGAATTCATTATCCTGAAGTCTACTTTGTTAATTCCCAACTCTTTGATCATCCTCTAGCCAACTTTTCTGTTTTATAGTAGAGAGGGCCTGGCAAGGAACACAAAACAGGGTTGACAAGGCCCAACACACGATCACGTTCTCCAGCTTCAACCTAGTTTTCACTAACATCTGGAAGCATTTTGGCTCAGCTTTTATGGAAGCCCCAAAAGTATTCCAGAGGTGTGCCAGTAAACTTGAGGGGAAAACTCCCAATCTGTACTATATGCCAATTTATGCTGTGTAAATATTCCTATAAGGCAGATTTCAAGCTACCAATGATTTTAACAGTCAGCTGACAAAGTTCCTGAATTTATAACAACTGACTTTTTTGAACTGGCCCTTATCGGTGAGTTATCCTGAGTCACTACTTTGTCCTTTGGGCATATATTAAAGCCATCAAATTCTTGCTATGCCTTCATCTTCAACTGAACACTTCATTATTTAGAGAGTTAAAATTTCATCCATTCATCTCAGGTAGGGGGAAAAGAAGTCTTTATTTCCAAAGTTAGCCCCTCTTGAACATCCCATTCTCCTAAGTTCTAACTTCTCCCTCTTCATGGTTTCTTCAAACACCATTAAATATAATAAACATTTAAAAATACTTTAAAAAGTTTGTTACCCGCTCCAGTTCAATTTCTTTCCATTTTTGCCCTGTCAAACTCCTGTACTCACTGTTTTCTACCTCATAGTCCTTACCTTCATTCAGAAAAAAGAAGCATTTGGGCTCTTATCCCTAGCACTTTATGGAACCTGAACTCTTGTAAATAACAGTGTCCATCAGCCTAGTCTGAGAAACTAAATACAACAATGACAGTAGCAGTACTATGTGGGTACAGAAGATGTATTTGAGCTGGGACGCTGGTACTTAGAGTGGGGGTCCATTACAAGGACAAAGAGAAGGATCAGCATTTAATAAAGAAATGTGAAAGTATGACACAGTTTATTAGGGAAATGGTATGTAATTTTACAGTTGTTGCAGTGTGGGACTTAAAGGTGATTGAAGTAAATGATGAGGCTACATGGTCAGACTAAATTTATGCTGTTGGAAACAGCAGGTTTTGAGAGACATTTTCAAATTTATGTGTTTTAGTAAGATAACTCTACAGGCATGATGGAGCAAGAACACAAGTTAGAAGAATATTGCAAAAAGTCTAGGCAAGAGATGATAAAAAGTGTTCTAGGCAATGCTGATTAAGATAAGTAGGGATAAGAGAATTTGACAGACTCTTTGCAAATGTACTCTGCAGGGCTTGGGGACAAACTGGGTGAGAAGTTAAGGAAACTCCTAGGTTTCCAACATGCTGACTGGGTGGTTGACGGTGCTACTAGGGAATTTAGGAAGCAGAGGACAAGTTTGGGGAATGTCTGATGTATTCGAAAGCTCTAGTAGGCACTGAGTTAGAACTGATCAACAGATATTTAGAAACAGTGGTTAAGAACTCATTCGAGATCAGGACTAGAGGTAAAGTTTCAATTAAATAAATCCCCATTGTGTGCCGTGCACAATACTTAATATAGGATTTGATTATGTTTAGTGTTAGTTGAAAACATTAAACGGAAAAAAAGCCCAAGATTGGAATTAAAGAACATTACCAATTAAAAAAGAGTAGATAATGGTATACTGATGCATATACATGGAATCTAGAAAGATGGTACCAAAGAATTTATTTGCAGGGCAGCAATGGAGAAGGAGACACAGAGAACAGACTTAAGGACATGGGGAGAGAGGAGGAGAGGGTGAGATGCATGGAGAGAATAACATGGAAAGTTACATTACCATATGTAAAATAGATAGCCAACGGGAATTTGCTGTCTGGCTCAGGAAACTCAGACAGAGGCTCTGTATCCACCTGGAGGAGTGGGATGGGGAGGGAGATGGGAGGGAGGCTCAAAAGGGAGGGGATATATGTATACCTATGGCTGATTCATGTTGAGGTTTGACAGAAAACAACACAATTCTGTATAGTATCCTTCAATTAAAAAATAAATTGACTTTTTAAAAAAGGATAGATAATGTGACTGGAGGAAAACCTGGAGAAAATATTCTATAAAATGTCAAGGTAGGCTTTTAAGAAGCAAGAAGTGGGGAGCAGGATGGGTAGGAAATGCGTACATTGGGATTGCTTTTGAGCCTTACTGGGCTTGTCTTTCAATGTCTCTGTGACACGCCTAAGAAGAAATAATACAAAGGAATATGCTAGTACAAATATGGAAGAAAACATTACTTAAATGAAGAAAAGAAATTAACAGACATTTAAAGCAAAACCAAGGTGTCGAATATTTCAAAGTTCAGGTATGATGACAGAAAATAAGTCCTTAGTTTTGGTAAGTGGAAGATCACTAGTAACCTTCAAGTACTTTTCAAAGGAACTGAAACATTTCAGAAGTTTCATCAATTTTCGTCCATCACCTGCTATATTTCTGGCATTACACTACTGCACAGGAATGAAAAGGATGAATATCAAGGAATTCACTGCCCAGTAGAATGGTGGTGACAGAGTCAATGTGGGAGACGCAGGACTGTGGTTTGACACTGATGAAGGGTTAAGAGAAGTCTTATCGTAGTTATCCCTTCCAACGCCAGAAAAGAGAAAGACTTGGGGTTTTAAGGTTGTCCAGGGATTTGTTCATTGGCACATTGTTAGGGAAAGTTCCAGCCAATGGAAAGGGATAGATGAAGACTTCTTTAAAAAATGAAACGGCAAGCTATGTAGAAACACTAAGAGGTGGGATAAAGAGATCAGACCAAATGGCTAGCATTGAGAAGAACATTACTAGGACAAGAGGAAAGAAATATGATTAAAGGTCTGGTCTGATAATACTGAAGTATAGAATTTGAAGAAATGTGAGTCTAATGTTTACTAATTTTTTTTTCCACCATAAAATAAGAGACAAGTTTAGCTGATAGAAAAGGGGCCAAGACAAGGAATGTAGGAAGGGCATGTGACTAAGGTAAAATAAAAAACTGCTGGTCACACATCAGTGGGGACTCAGCAGAGGTTGAACATTATAGATTTAAATTATAACATAATGCATTAAGCACAATTACAGAAATACACATTAGGCATTGTAGAAGAATCAAAGGTGGTACTTTACAAATTCTTGAAATTTAACATT